CCCCCGCCGCTCCCGCCCTACGACACAGCGGCGCGGCCGTTGCCCTCGTCCCCACCGTCGGTCCAACAAACTACGATCTCCCGAAATACTTTGCCACTAATTGGTCCGGAGCCCCCGAAAGACGCGATCGAAATCAGGGCGATTGCGCGGCGGTCCTGGGAGTCAGGTGGAACGGCGAAATCACTGGTGAAAAGTGAAAAGGGCTTAAGTCCTCGGTCTTCCTATTGGTCTTTAGTCTTTACGCCCTTTTCACTTTTCACCAGTGGTGTCCCCATCCTCACTGACGCCCTTGCTCTCGCCCCCCACAGCTCCGCACGTGCTTCTTCAAGTGCTGCGCACCGGGCCAGGTCCTGTTCTGGTCCAAGGACATGGCGCGCAAGGAGTGCGTCAACAGGACGTCCTGGAGGGACGAGGTGCCGGCCGGCGTGTTCGACATCGCACTGCCGGAGTTCCTCCTCGACCTGTACAGCGAGGGCGACCTGACCGAGGCCACGCAGAGGGCCGTGCCCGTCCCCGCGCACTGGAGGGTCATGGTCTCGGAGCGACACCGCCAGAACAAGAACGGCATGTTTAAGTAAGGTCGGCTCGGCCGCGTCGTCCAAGTAGTACGGATCCGGCGGTGCGGGCGCGCCTCTCTCTCATCGGAACGCGTGTGTCTTGTGCTCAAACAGGCTCAATTCCAACCAGGATCCGGACGACTTCTTCTACCTGCTGGAGAAGAACGCCTCCCTTCTCGTACCCAAGTACACTATGTCCATCTTCGCGCCGGGGACGTTCTGCCTGGACCTGTTCGTGGTGATGCGCAACACCAGCGACGGCGAGGTGTCCGTCAGCACCGAGCTGTCCGCGCTGGTGCCCTTCATGGACGTGGAGGGCGAGGTAGCCGTGTCCGCCATCGTCGGCATCCTGTACCCCATCGGCCTCCTCATCTCCATCCCGTTCCTGGTGGCCACGTTCGCCGTGTACTGCACCTACAGCGAGCTCCGCAACCTGCCGGGCAAGAGCCTCATGTGCTACGTGGCCTCCATGATCGCGGGCTACCTACTCCTGTCACTGGTTCAGCTCAACTTGGACGTCGACAACATGACCTGCCTCGTCCTCGGTAAGTCCGAATTTGCTCACGAACTTGCCCCATTCTCCCGCTCTCCCCTCTGCTAAAAGAGGGTAGCATTATCAGTACTGGCCAGGTCGAGTGTCAATCATCCGTAATGGTGACCGGCTCGACCTTGAGGCCGGGGGCGCGACGCGGCCTCTACGGGCACACCCTTCATTGGCCAAGGCCAATAGGGTACTTGTTCATGACGGGCACGGCCGGCAGGGGGA